GAATGCTCTTGGAGACCACTTGGGCTGAACTGGAAGCCTTTTGGGCCATCTGGAGGCCATCTTGGGCGTGTTCGAACGATCTGCCCGCGTTTCGAGCCCTCTTGGAGGCCTCTTGCGGCCCTTTTCGTGCGTGTTCGGGCTGTATTGGGCCGTTTAGGGGCGGCCCTAGGCCGTCCCGGCGCCCTCGTGGGAACCTGTTGGGATGATATGTGGGTATCCCTGACCGCCTTGGGGCGTCGAGAAGCGGAACAGGCAGAATCGCTAAAATGTGCCAGAAACCTGAAGACAAAAAAAACAATGAGTCTGGCTTCTTGGTGCCGTTTTTGGGGAATGCTCTTGGGGACCCCTTGGGCCGTGTTGGAAGCCTGCTGGGCCATCTGGAGGCAATCTTGGGCGCGTTCGAGCTAGATGTCTGCGTGTCGAGCCCTCTTGGAGGCCTTTTGCGGCCGTTTTCATCTGTGTGGGGCTGTCTTGGGCCGTCTGGGGGTTTGGACGATATTTTGGTCTCCCTGCCAATCTTGGGGCCTCGGGAAGCAAAACAAGCATAATCGCTAAAATGCACCAGAAACCTTTGGACGACCAATGATTTTGGCTTCTTGGGGCCGTTTTGGGAGTGCTCTTGGAGACTCCTTCGCAACCCCTTGGGGCCCCCTTGGGAGCCTCCTGGGGAAGAGGGCTCGAAAGGCCGGTCGGGTACCCCCTCTGGGCCTCTTCTTGGGGCCGTCCTGGGGCCCTCTCGGGCCGTCTAGGGGGCCTCGTGGGCCGTGCTTGTGCCCTCTTGGGCTGTCTCGGAGCCCTCTTGGGGCCCTCTCGGGCCGTCTTGGGGCGATTTTGGGAGCCTCTCGGACCGCCGTGGGCGCTGTGAGAATCCAAGGTGCGGATACTCGAAAAATGCACGGTTTCCCAAGGGAGCGGGGCCATTTTTGCGTTTTGAAGCCCTCGTGGGATTTCTCTTGGAGGCCTGCTGGGCCGTCTTGGAAGTTTTCTGGAGCCGTCGTGCGACCATCTTCGGCGTCTTGGAGCGATCGGGGTCTCTGGGCCTCTTGAACCGTTTGGAGGCTTCCTGGGACCCTCGGATGCCGTGTCGGGGTTGTCTTGGGCCGTGTCGGAGCGCCTCCAGAGGCCCTGGCCCTGCCATGCGCGCTCGAGGCGCGGGCCCCAGGCGCCCGGGCCTCGTGCGCGGGGATATGTATATCTACACATGTGTGTATATACCATCGCGCGCGCTTCGCGCGCGCTTCGGTTCTAATCGAGGTCACGGCCAAGTCCTGTCAAAAGTCGTTTGAATACTGTTTGTTTCCGTATTGTCATGTTGATCATCTTCGCTCGTGTGTCGGTCCCTGTCTTTCCTCCTCCTGGCTTTCCGTTTTCTATTTCGTCCTGGTCATCCGTATCTTCGCGTTTCTCATCATCCTCTTCGGCACGTCGGCCACTGGCGAAGATCGACGCAACACAAAAACAATAACAATTGCGACCCGGGGCGTTTTTTCATAGCGGGTGGCCTCGGGAGGGAGGAACAGGACGAGCAGGAGGAGAGCCAAGAGCCGGCAGCGAAGGAGAGACGACCGAGCGAGCGAGCGGGCGAAGGGGAAGGGGAGGAGAAGCGGCGACGGGAGGAAGGGCGGGGCGGACACGCAGGGGCGAAGGTCCGATGGAGGAGAGGGGGAAGGAGGGAAGAGGGGAGAGAGGAGAGGAGGACGAGAGGAGGGAGGACGAGAGAGGAAGGAAGGAGGGGGAGGAAAAGGGGAACGATCGTGGGCGTCTTGGTGTGCTCTTAGGTGTCTCGAGGCACGCTTGGACCGTCATGGGCGCGTCTTGGGGCAATGTTTGGAGCCTCTTGGGCTGTCTTGGTTGCTATTGGGCCGTCGTTGGGGCCTCTTGGGCCGTCTTGGGGCTCTCTTGGGAGCCTCTTGGACCAGCTTGGGACGGTCTTGGGGGCCTCTCGGGCCGTCTTGGAGCGTCGGGCCGACGAAAAATTGAGGAAGCCAAAAACCTTTAAAAACCTAAAGGCGAACAATGATTTTGGCTGATAGGGTCCTTCTTGGAAATGCTCTGGGGGTTATCTTGGGACGTCTTGGACGCAACTTGGGCCATCCGGGAACCATCTTGGGCGTCTTGGAATGGTCTTAGGCGCGTCGAGGCACGCCTTGGGTTATCTTTAGGCCCTCTTGGGCCGTCTTGGGGCGCTCTTGGGGGCCTCTTGGGCGATCTTGGGACGGTCTTAGGGACTTCGTGGGCTGTCTTGGAGGGTCGGGTCGACGAAAAAACAAGAAAACCAAACACCTGCAAAAAACCAACGGAATTCAATGATCTCGGCCTCTTGCAGCCCTCTTGGGAATGCTCTTGGGGCTCTCTTGGGACGTCTTGGAGGCCTCTTGGGCCATCTGGGAGCCATCTTGGGCGTCTTGGAACGGTCTTAGGCGCGTCGTGGCACGCTTTGACTGTCTTCGACGCCTCTTGGGCCGTGTTTGCAAGCTCTTGGGCGGTCTTAGGCGCCTGTTGGGTTATTGTTAGGCCCTCTTGGACCGTCTTGGGGCGCTTTTGGGGGCCTCTTGGGCGATCTTGGGACGGTCTTGGGGACTTCGTGGGCTGTCTTGGAGGGTCGGGACGACGAAAAAACAAGAAAACCAAAAACCTGCAATAAACCAGCGGAAATCAATGATTTTGGCCTCTTGCAGCCCTCTTGGGAATGCTCTTGGGGCTCTCTTGGGACATCTTGGAGGCCTCTTGGGCCGTCTGGGAGCCATCTTGGGCGTCTTGGATCGATCGTAAGCGTCTCGAGGCACGCTTGGGCCGTCTTCGGCGCCTCCTGGGCCGGACAAGGGCGCTCCTGGAGGCCCGATCCCGCCATGGGGGGTTGCGGTCCCGGCCAGGGAGACCCCGGCCCTGTAGCCCGGTATATATATATATATATATATATATATATATATATATACACATATGGTGTATTGTAATGTGTATTTATATATATACACATATATATATATATATTGCAAAATATTGTAATATACATACACATATATATATATATATATGTGTGTGTGCGTGTATATATATGATATATGGGTGTTCATAAGCATGTATTGTAGATGTAGCGCTACTTGAAAATACGCGTTGTAGCATACATGATGCAGTGCATGCAGTATGCATCATGATGTTCATATATGCTTGATAAATACGCATTCAGACGCATATATCATCCACGGGGCTCAGCAGGTACAGGGGTGTCCATGGAGGCCGCAGGAGGCAACAATATATTCCACTAGGTCCAGGCACCACAAGGTCCTAGCAAACATATAGGAAGCCACCAGGGGATCCCAGGAAACCCAAGGGAACCCCAGGAGGCCATTGAACGTTCCAAGAGGAAGTGCGTGGAGGCCCCACTGCACCTCAGGAAGCCCTAGGAGGCTTCAGGATATGCCAGAAGACCACCGGAGGCCCCAGCTTCTCAGGACCCCCAGGCCCCCAGGAGGCCCGAGAAAATCCCTGGAAGATTCAAAACGCCCAGAGAGCCCCAGGAGGCGGCACGGCATACCACAGTCGGGGAGACGTAAGACCTGGGTACGGGGGACTCGGAAATCCCCGACGAGGTCGTCAAAAAAATGACGAGGCCGAGCCTGCATTTTGACGAGGCCTCCCGCTGCACACATCCCACGAAACTCCTCCTCGTCAAAATCCGAGTCGCGGTCGTCAAAAAACGTTGGCGAACCCGAGTCCCGGCAAACCCGGGTCTTACGCTCCCCCGACACAGGAAACCTTCGGAGGTTTCAGGAGGCAGTGTCTGACATGTGGTTCTGGCGGTGACAACACCCATTAGGAAGCCAGAACCCCCAGAAATTCACCACGCGGTGTTGCCGGACTCCAGTTCCGCCTCGGCTTCCCTGGCCCTGCCGGGGGCCAGCGGGCGCAGGGCCGGGCAGGCGACCCCCTTGTCGACGCCGCCGCCGTCGTCGTCGCCGTCGCCGTCCTCCCCGCTTCCTCCCCCCGGCCCCCGTCCCCCTGGCACAATCGAACCCCTGGCAACCAAGCAGCGACGGTCGGGCACTCGAGCTGTCCAGGCGGCAGGGCGGCGTGGGGGGGGCAGCGGAGCAGGGGAAGGGGGTACCAGAGGGGCAACAACAGAGGGATGGCTGGGGCGCAGGCGGTGGGGGGAGGAGGGGACCCAGACCCCCGACGTCATGATTTTTTCATGACGCGACCCCCAGAGGTCCGGACCCTTTCCCCGGGACCGGTTTTTCGTCCTGAGTCGTTTTTTGACGGTCCCGAGGCCCGGCGAGGACCTCTAGATGGCGAAAATGACCGAAAACCGCCCGTCCTGATTTTTTTACGACGCCATCATGTCTGGGGGGGACGGGGATCAGTGAATCCTCTGCTCTGACAATTCGCAACATGCTTTCCACGAGCGGCTGATGCGGGCGACGGGCCCAGGCGGCACTTCGCACCTGCCCGTCGCCAGCGCATGCAACCGGGGAAAAAGTCGCGCGGGGGCGGCCCAGCACATGGCCCGTCGGGGCTGGGGGAGCTCCTCCTCCTCCTCCTCCTCCTCCTCCTCCTCCTCCTCATCCTCCTCCTCCTCCTTCCTCCTCCTCCTCCTCCTCCTCCTCCTCCTCATCCGCCTCCTCCTCCTCCTCTTCCTCTTCCTGCTCCTCCGTCGTGCTGTCCCGCATCCCTACTTCCCTTCCTCCGTTCTCCATCCGTGCCTGGGTCGTTCTCCCCCTCCTCCTGGCGACGCTCGGGGCACGGGTCGCGCGCCGGGCAGCAGCGGCGGCGCCCGGCTACCCTACGCCCGACGCGGCACAGACGGCGCTGCGGCGGCGGCGCCCGCCTCCTCCGAGAGGCCGGGCACATCTGGCGGCGCGCCCGACGACGTGCCGCAAGGCAGCGACGCCAGCTTCCTCCCCAGCGTCGCCCTGTGGCGGGCGGCCGCCTCGCGCACCGCGCGCCAGGCAGTCCCCAGCTCGCCTCGCAGCGGCGCGGCGCCGGCGCCCGCGCTGCCGCCCGCCGCGCATCCCGCGGCGCCGCCGGTCGTCTCCTCGGGCGCGCGGGCGGAGCCGCACCTGCTGCAGTACCGGTCCTCGGCCGTGAAGTAGGCGGCGCCGCAGCGGCACGCGCCGGCGGGCGGCGCAAGGTCGGCCGGGGCGGGCGAGCCGCACATGCGGCAGAACCGGGACTCGGCCGCGAGGTAGGCGGCGCCACGGCGGCACGCGCCGAGGGGCGGCGGCGGCGCGAGGCCGGGGGCCGGCGCGGGCGGGGTGTCGCGGCCGCCCTTGCTGGAGAAGGCGGCCGCCAGGCTGGGGTTCTGCTCCAGAATGCCCTTCACACGCTCGTCCAGGCCAGCCAGGACCTCCAGGTTCACCTCCTTGTCCTTCTGGTTGGTTACGAAGTACTCCTCGAACCGGAGCGTCCAGGCCGCCTCCTCGGCCGACTTGTGCAGCCAGGCTCCGAAGAGGTAGTCGCGCAGGGCGGCTTGGCCGTCGCTGCCAGCGACGCCGTGCACCTGGGCACGGGTATCCAGACGAGAGGCCGGCGCAAGCCCGTCCTGGGTGATCTGGCACATCGACGTCCAGGCCTCCACGCTCGGCCAAAACCGCCGGTTGTAGTCGGCGTCGAACATGATTAGCACTGTGCAACCCAGGTAGAGATATGGGAGGACGTTCGCCAAAGTCCTGTCAAACTCCTGCTGCTCCATGAATGTTTTGCGCCCTTCCGTGGCGTCGTCCTTCCATTTCTGCGGAATGCACGCCCAGTCGATCCAGACGTGGGTGATGTGCGGGCTATCGCGCAGAATCGTCTTCAGTTTCTTCAGTTTGGTGCAGTCTGGGTCAATGTGCCAATGCCTGACCCAGCGATGGCTGACTGCAGCCTTTGTCCTCGCCGCTCCACATACGACGTCTGCCTCGGTCATGAAGATGCGCACCAACTTGCCCTGATCCCTCAGGGTCTGGTGGCGGGGCATTGGCCTGTCCTCAGGCAGAACCAGGAACTCCTCGCGGCTCATGAACCAGAAGTGGAAGCCCTGTGCTGCGTCTGTCTGCGCTGCCCATAAAAAGGGGCGGTGGGGCGGAGAGTCGCGATACGTTTTCGGTGGCGTAGTGTTATGCAGTTTTTTTCAGCATGGTCAAGCGTTACTATGCATGCGTATGCTATACAAAGCCGCAGGATTGTTTATCATCGCGCACGCATAGCATACCGTAGCATGGAACATCATAGTACCGCATAGCGCTTCACCTCATAACATAACATAACAACGCATATCACGTCATAGTCATAGTATCGGATCGTATACCACTTCATGCCATGCAACGAATTGCTGGCCACTATCATAATATCTTAACAATGCACCACGGTGGATTATCGTTGGAAATTTGCATCGACCTTCGCAATCACATGGGGGCCTGATTACAATATCTTCATGACTGTTTGATGGGTTCGCTGCTTCGCCCTCCAGCTATGCTACGCTGTGCAGATTCGGCCCTTTGCGGCATCGCCCCCCTCGCGCGAGGATAAGGAGGGGATAATGAGGAGGGGGAAACGGTAGAGAGAATGAGGAGGAGAAGGAGGAGCAGAAGAACGAGAAAGGGAAGAGGAGGAGGAGGAGGCGGTGGTGGAAATGAGGAGGGAGAGGAAGGGGATAGTGTTCCAATTGGGAAAATCTTCGCTGAAGAGCTTCGCGCTAAGGGCCCAAGCGTGAAAACGTGAAGATCTTCGCGTGGGGAGTGTGTTGGGCTTAGTCGGGGGCATGTGGGCCAATCCTGTGAGCTCTCTGCGTTGTCTTGGAGGCCGTATTGTTTTTTTGGAAATGTGGCGGCTCGAAAAAAAACAGCGGGGAGGAAGATCACTTCAGATCTTCGCGCTGAGGCCCAGAGGGTGCTGATCGCCACTTAAATTCCAAAAGCAGCCCCCCCGCATCAATATTCTTTATGTAGATATTCCTGCTGGGGCCCTCTGGTGTCGTGTCGGGGGGCCTTTGGGAATGAACCTTGTGGGCGGTCTCTTGGAGGCAAATTTGGGCCGTCTTGGGCGGTTTAGGGGGGCTCTGGCACATCCCCAGCGTGGAGGTCTCCGCTGTAGATCGCCGTGCCGAGGCCTCCAGCTGTAAGATTTTCGCATTACTGAAGATCTTTGCGCGGGGATTCTCTTGGGTTTGTTCGGGTGCCTTTGGGACTGGGGCCTCTTGAATTGTCTTGGAAGCCACATTTGGTTCCTTGGCGATCTGGAGGCCCCAGAAAGTGCCCGGCGTGAAGATTTGGACCGAAGATCTTCGCGCTGAGGCCTCAAGCGCGAAGGCTTTCACTCAAGATCTTCGCGCGAGGAGCCTCTGCCAATCCTGGAAGCCTTTGGGGTTGCCTTGGAGGCCATATTGGGTGACTCTGGCGACCTGGAAGTCCGAAAATATCCCGAGCGTGAAAATCTCAACTGAAGATCTTCGCGCTGAGGCCCCAAGCGTGAAGATCCCCGCTGTAGATGTCAAAGCCGAGGCCCCCAGCGTAGAGATCTCCAATTTCGATATGCTGGGGGCCTCTCGGGCCGTGCTGGGGGCCCTGGCCTGGGAACCCTTGGGGTCGTCGCGGAGACAATCTTAGGCCGTCTTAAGCGATCTGGGTGCCATGGGAGACCCCCAGCGCGGAGATCCCCGTCGAAGACCGCCGCGCCGAGGGTCCAGCGTGAAGATATTATATGATGATTTTCCGGGCAAACATCCACGTGCGTCAGAAGCCATGCAATTTGGCACAAGTATGTATCAACCACCGCCATGAGCGCATGTGTGAGCATAGCATGCGCGTGCTACGTGAAGGATTTGAATGTACATGCTTTGATAGCTGCTTTGATGGGTATATGGGAGTCTCGGGGCGCATCGCGTTCACAGTGCGTGCGCACGCGCACGCAATCATCCAAGTGCAATAAGACAAACTACCGTACTCTGTTTGAGGGGGAATGGACGGGGGAACTTGGAGCGGGAGGAGGATGAGAGGAGTGGTGGGGGAAGGTGGAGAAGGGGCCGGTAGGGGGTGAAACGGAGGAAGAAGAGGAGGGGAGGAGGAGGGGAGGAAGAGGAAGAGGAGAATGATGAATTGGGGGGGAGGGAGGGGGGGAGAATTCGCCGGCCCAACGGGCCAGAGGCGTGCTAAGATCTCCGGCGACTGCTTTACAATATTCTTCTTCGCGCGCGCGGGGCGGCCCCTGGGGGTCTCCCCGCGAAAAGTACCCCGGCAGGGTCCCGGGAGACTCCCGGGAGGGTCCCGGGAGGTTCCCGTCAGAGATGTTCTCCCTCCTGGGTGCCGCCCTCGAGGTCCTCCAGAGAGCCTCCAGACGCCCCAAAACGCCCCCAAGATGCTACAAGAGGGCTCCGAGATGCCACAAGATCGCTCCAAGACGCTCCATATGGCCCCCAAACGCCCCAGGAGGCCTCCAAGAGCACTCCCAAGAGGGCCCCAATAGGCAAAATTCATTGCTTTTCCTTAGGTTTTGGTGAGATGTTGGTATTCCCACCCTTTCCGCTTTCCAACGCCCGACGACGGCCCAAGAGGCCCCCAAGACCGCTTCAAGAGTGCCCAAGAGCCCCCCACAAGGGCCTTACGACGAGCCAAGATGGCCCCAAAACGGCCCCAGAGGGCCCCAAGACGGCCCTAGAGGGCCCCAAGAACGCCCCAAGAGCGGCCCCAGGGGGGGAACACGACACAACATGTCCAGCCCTCGGCCCTAAGAAGCCCCCAGGAGGACCCCAGAGGCCCCTGAGAGGTCCCAAGAGGCCCCCACGAGGCCCTCAGGAGGCCCCCAAAAGTCCTCCAAGCGGCCCCAGGAGGCCCCCCAAATGCCCCCCCGAGAGCCCCAGGAGTCCCCCAAGCGGCCCCAGGAACCCCCAAAGCGCCGCATTGACACCAAGCCCTCGGGCAAACGGCAGACATGAGACTGTATGGGCCGGCGGAATGAGCGAAGCGATTAAATAATGAAGAGAGCAAGGACGCGGGGGAAGGAGGGAAAAGAAGGTGGGGGGATGGGGGGGGGGCGGAGGTGGAGGAGGAGGAGGGGGGAGAAACGAGGGGGGAGGATGAAGCGGAGGCGGAGACCGAGGAGAGGAGGGATGGTGATGAGGAGGCGGAGGATGAGGAGAGTAGGTGAGGAGGGGGCGGAGGAGGAGGCTCGCGGCGGGCGCCCAAATCAAAGCGAGGTAGCTTCAGACGTACAGTGGGTGGTTCAGGTCCGAACATACCAGATGATTCCCCACATTCTAAGTGGGGTTATGATTTTCTCTACACCCGCGTCGCACCCGCGTTCACTCACCTCCCCTTTTCTACACCCGCGTCACACCTGCGTTCCCACCTCACCTCCTCCTTCTCGCTCGTACACACACCACACCACGCCTCATCGCACCACACCACACCATGCCACACCACACACCACCACACCACACCACACCACACCACACCACACCACACCACACCACACCACACCACACCACACCACACCACACCACACCACACCACACCACACCACACCACACCACACCACACCACACACACACACACCACACCACACCAGTGTGTGGCACTTTCTCGTCACTACAGGACGTGTGCAGGGAGTGGTCCCTCACCGCGGTCTCTATCCGCCCCAGGGTCCACCACACCACACCACACCACACCACACCACACCACACCACACCACACCACACCACACCACACTACACAACACCACCCGTGTGTGGCACTTTCTCGTCACTACAGGACGTGTGCAGGGAGTGGTCCCTCACCGCGGTCTCTATCCGCCCCAGGGTCGCAGGGCGTGGCGGGCGTGGCACTTCCTCGACACCATACGGGGGTGCGCAGGGGGTGGTCTCTCACCGCGGCCGCTATGCACGACAGTCGTCCAGGCACAGCAGGCGTGGCACTTTCTCGACACCACAGGGGGTGCGCAGGGGGTGGTCCCTCAGCGGGGCCTCTATCCGTGACACGCTCGCAGGGCGTGGCAGGCGCGGCACTCTCTCGACACCACTGGGGGGGCGCAGAGGGTGGTCCCTCAGCGGGGCCTCTATCCGTGACACGCTCGCAGGGCGTGGCACGCGCGGCACATTCTCGACATCACATGGGGGTGCGCAGAGGGTGGTCCCTCACTGCGGCCTCTATCCGTGACACGCTCGCAGAGCGTGGCAGGCGCGGCACTTTCTCGACACCACTGGGGGGGCGCAGAAATAGGTCCCTCAGCGGGGCCTCTATCCGTGACACGCTCGCAGGGCGTGGCGGGCGCGGCACATTCTCGACACCACAAGGGGGTGCGCAGAGGGTGGTCCCTCAGTGCGCCTCTATCCGTGACACGCTCGCAGAGCGTGGCAGGCGCGGCACTTTCTCGACACCGCTGGGGGGGCGCAGGGGTTGGTCCCTCAGTGCGGCCTCTATCCGTGACACGCTCGCAGAGCGTGGCAGGCGCGGAACATTTTCGACACCACTGGGGGGGCGCAGGGGGTGGTCCCTCAGCGCGGCGTCTACCCGTGACACGTTCGCAGGGCATGGCAGGAGTGGCATTTTCTGGGCACCACATGGGGGTGCGCAGAGGGTGGTCCCTCAGCGCAGCCTCTATCCGTGACGCGCTCGCAGATCGTGGTAGGAGCGGCGCTTTCTCGACACCAGAGGGGGTGCGCAGAGGGTGGTCCCTCAGCGGGGCCTCTATCCGTGACGCGCTCGCAGGGCGTGGCAGGCGCGGCACTTTCTCGACACCACCCGGGGGGCGCAAAGGGTGGTCCCTCAGCGGGGCCTCTATCCGTGACACGCTCGCAGGGCGTGGCACGCGCGGCACATTCTCGACATCACATGGGGGTGCGCAGAGGGTGGTCCCTCAGTGTGGCCTCTATCCGTGACACGCTCGCAGAGCGTGGCAGGGGCGGCACTTTCTCGACCCTGAGCGCGGCCGCTGGCTGGCTCGAATCTGTCCTTGATGGAGGATAGAAGGCTAGGAAGAGGGAGGAGGTTCAAGCAATACGGCGTTGGATGACACAGAGGGGAACATTCGCGACGAGGGCTGAGAACGCAGATTTG